TCACATTCTAGGCACAAGGGGTGAAGTGAGCTAAGTGTAAGGTTTAATTATTGCAAAGAATTTTAGAATTAGCCCAATTCACCCCCTCTTGGACATCTTGATCCTTTCAGGATTAGTTAGGCTTAATAAATTTGTCTCGCGGATTACCGATGACTTGTGTAATTTATTTTATTATTACTATCCAAACAGTCGATGTGACACCCCCACGTAACATCCGATATGACACCCCTAAACTGTAGCCCTGAATTTAAACACCCCTGTAATAAGTAGATAATAGGAGAGCGAGATACATATGATACATTGGATAAACTTTATTTTAAACAAACCATCCAATGGAATATAGTTTCTATGCATAGTGTCTATAAATGTAGAAATTATCTTATAGTTTCTAGGTTAGGATTGCCCTAATAATCTCAGCGGTTGGGCTCAGATAACTTTGGCATAAAGATATTAAGGAGGTTGCATCCAACTATTCAGGTTAGGCTAAAAATTGTACTAGCTATCAAAAAGCTGATTACTAAAAAACGGGTTATTTGGATCACTCGGCTTATAGGTAGCTTTGGGTTAGTTGTCCACCTATTAGTTGCTATTAGCTGGTAGGAGACAACTAATGGTGTTACTTACTCCGTCCTCGAATAAATTAATTTCTAGAGTTATCTTAAGTCAACTTTTTAGAAGAAAATACAAATATATGTTACACCAAATGAGCACATTATGAAAATATAGTTTATAGAGTATTCAATGTTTAGTGTAGTTTGATGCTATAAATCTTGTTGCTCTTTCTATAAATTTGATCAAACTTGAAAATGTTTAATACAACTCTACAAATTGGTTTATTCATGAATGACAGGAGTAGTTTTAATTAGTTGAGCAATACTCCCTCCAGGTTGGTAAAAGAAGTCGTTTTGTATAAGGTTTGGGTCAAACATTGGGAATAAATCACAAATAACTTTTAAGTTGTTGAGTTTGAAAATGTGAAAACCATAAGAATAGATTTATCTTGAAACATGCTCATAAAAATATACATATATTACTTTCAATAAATATTTTTATAAAAATAAGAAGTCAAAGTTAGCCTTTGGAGACCGTGTCGCTGTCCAAAACGACTTCTTTTACCAACCTGGAGGGTTGATCTGTTTGGATCAACTATGACTTTTATTTGTTTTAGCTTATCCAAACAGGACCGTTGCTATTAACTGATAGGAGGCAAGTAATGGTGTTCGTTTTTTTATTGGCCAAGCAATAAGCTAACCTGTTTGGATTAGTTATAACTTTTATTAGTAGTTTTATTATTGGTTTTATATGATCTAAACAGGGCTCTAGTTGTCAACCTTAGGTCTTTTGGTGCCAATAGTGATATGATAATTAAGAAGACTGCATCCGGGATGGGAATTAATGTTGATCGCCTCATTGCCTCTCCATAAGCCATAATGACATGTTCAATAAAAATCTGGATCCCCGAGTGACATGTTTTTTGGATGGAGAGAGAGTTGATCTGAAGAGGCAAACAATTATAGCTTTCAAATTCTAAGTCTTCTATTTATGGATATGACTATCTTTTTATAATCTAGTGTTGTAACATATTATTATATATTTTTTGAAAGGTTTTATATTATATATTTGAAGAGCCAACAATTCTAGCACTCAGATTTCATGTAAAACCAATCGTATGAAACCATATTAAGTACTCACAATGCAAGTTGTTTGCGCCATCATAATTGAGTCATGTTTACTTAAAGGTTTATTAAGTTATGATTACTTGTGAGTCTCATCATTACATTAATTACAAATTCATGACACCATGTACAAGCAAAGTACACATTCAAATTTCATGGTGATGGATTTATAAAATGGAACCATTCAAACTTTGATAGATGGGTTACTTATCTGATACTTGTTGAATTATTGTTCTTCTTTTACAAAACTCTCCAAATGCTCCCATATACGTATGAGCACTCACCCCTATGAAGACGTCCATGCAAACCTATTCCTATGAGCACCTCCAAGAGACTTATTAGCTAGACTGACAAATCTTAAGATTGATGAAGTCACTACAAGCGCTTCACCATCGATGGACATATCACATACCACTGAAAGAATATGATAGTTAAACCCTAGAATAAATTTTGGAAAATACAAAACACTCTAAAGACTTAACTAGTGTAGACATATTCCAAAGGAACCCAACGTGAATACAATTGTTCTTTTAAGCAAGGGCATACACCTTTTCCATGAAATAGCTAGCATGTTAATCTTTCTTGAATAATTACTTTTTATTTACAAAAAAAAGAATATTACTTTTGGTGGCTTCCTGTGGTAGACTGGTAGTGATGGTTTCATAAAAGTCAAAAGGATCTGTGATTTTAACAGAAAAGAAAAAAATGTACAGTTGCGCACTCATGAAACTTGTGATCAAGTACCGACACCGTTGTACCAAATGGATTGATTGTTGTCTAATCGAACTTCCCTTTTAAATTGTACACTATTATTTCATTATTATTGTTATATTACAACACAAGTACGTTTTCTTTTCTGGTGAGTGTACCCATGTCATGGTGAATTCCATGCGTAACTGTCATAGCGGTTACTGATAGCTACAGGACTACAGCATTTCAAGGCATCGTGCATGTTCCCGGAGACTATCAACTGGTCACACCACATGGACGATTGCTTAAGGATCTTTGCTTCCGTGACCTCCCTCATCTGAAAGTTACGTTATGGGGCTCGTTGCTTCGCTGAAAAAATAAGCCGAAACACTATTTCTAGCTGATTTGTTGTGAGAGAAAAGTACTGTTCCGGCTGAAAAAAGCTGAAAAGTACGAATTATAAGACAAGCGAACAGGGCCATGCAAATTACTTTATTTTTATATACTCCTCCGTGTTAAATTATAAAACGTTAGGATTTTCTAGATACATAGAATTTTTTCTATGCACTTAGATATAACTAACATAGTAAAAACAATGTATCTAGAAATATCAAATTGTTTATAATTTAAAATGGAGGGATTACATTAGATAAAAGCCAATTCTTTGACCAAACTATCATTTTTACTATCTGGATTTTTTGAGGCCACCATTATTAATCTCTTAAAATGCCCCTCCATCTAAAATTGATCATCCCCACAACTTTGTACAGCGGCAGAAACGAAAAAAATATCTTTCCCGCAAAGCATTCACATCTCAGCATCCCAACGTCCACCATCGGTGCATCTCAATTGTATGGTTGCGCCGCGTGCCCTTCATCCATCACCGGCCACAAAAGGTTTTAGTTTTGCCTTAGACAAAATAAAGCCAAATCTTTGACAACTATCAATTTTACCATCTGAATCTTTCAAGCCGCCATTATTAATCTCTAAAAATACCCTCCATCTAAAATTGACCATCGCCACAGCTCTATACAATGGCACAAAGAGGAAACTATCATCCCCGTAGGCCATTCACATATCAGCGTCCCAACATCCACGATTCCTGTGTCAACCATATATATGGTCACGCCACGTACCCTTCATCCATCACCAGTCGCAAAAATGCTTTAGTTTTGCCTTAGACAAAAGCCAAATCTTTGACTACAAACTATCAATCTTACGTTCTTGATTTTTGAATCCGCCATTATTAGTTTCAAAAATACCCATGCATCAAAAATTAATTATCGTCATAGCTTTATGTAGTTACACAAAAGACAAACTATCATTTTCGTAAGCCATTGGTGTCTCAGCGTCCTAACAAGCCCCATCCAACTTATTTGGGGTGGATAAGTTAGATTATAAAAGAGATGTAATATGTTGTGACACATTAACTCTGCATTACCATACGAATTGACGAGACATCTTTTTCAAGACAAACCACACATTTGAACTGATACGTGCTGATCAATTCTATTCCATTTTTTGGTTATATGTTGATCATTATTAGATGGAGGGACCATATGATTTTAAATGAAATTGAACTAATTCTTAAAAATAACTAGAGCAATGACCGTTCCATGTTCGTGTCAGGCCTCAATCTAAATATGCCCATCGTATTTCGTAAGAATATGAAATGTCTCTATAATCGTTGATATCTTTGGAAAAAATGTTGCTTATCAGAAAAAGGTCTACATGGAAGATTCGATGATGATGAACAGTATGCCTGCTCCGAGGAAACGATAGGCTTGCCATGGCGGCCACGTATACCACCAAAAACGCTCCAAAGTTGAGCATATCCATAGGCAAATCAATCAATCAATGTCTCAATCAGGCTGAAGAGGGGCAGGATTAAGACGATCAGTAGCCAAAATGAGCCAAGCAGATCCCACGAGGTCCCGACGGCGGCTGCCGCGGCGGCCTCGCCGGCTTCCTCCAAATCGCCGGGCAGCTTGCCACCGTTGGCCGGTCGCCCTGCCCGTCCTTCCCGTTTCCTTTTGGCACCAACCGGGGGCAGGCACTCAACCGCGATGACCGTGCCACGTCGGCGCCGCGTCCTCCCCACGCTCCCACCAACCAACCCCACGTGCAGCACAGGCACAGCGCAGCTGCACCCGCTAGCCGCTTGGTTGGACCCACCAAAACCCGCCAGGAACGCAGATGCCGTGCACCCACCTTCGCCGACGCGAGGGCCCCCCACCCACCGTGGTCCGCTATAAGACGCCGTGGTGCCGCACGGCTCCGGCGCCGGCGACGCCCCCGCTCGGTTTGCTATAAATACGCCTTCCCAGCCAGCTGGTCCTTTTTTTTCCTCTTTCCGCCTCCCAGTCCCCACCCTGCCGTCGTCGTCGCTACTCGCATCGAGATTCGCGCGGCCGTGTCTTGCTCGCGCCTGCTGCGCTGCGCTGCTCTGCTCTGCTTGGTTCCCCTTCCCTCCTCCCTCGGTCGCGTCAGCGCCCAGATCTCTCGCTCGCTCGCCGGCGCCCGGGCTAGATCTGGGCGGGAGCTCGGAGGCGGAGCCGGCCGGGCGCAAGTTTGGGGAGACCCAAAGGGGAGGAGGAGGAGGAGGTGGCGAGGGAAGACGCGCGGACGTACGCCATGGAGCTGGCTGTTGGCGGCGGGATGCGGCGGTCGGCGTCTCACACCTCGCTGTCGGAGTCGGACGACTTCGAGCTCACGCGGCTGCTCAGCAAGCCGCGGATCAACGTCGAGCGCCAGCGCTCCTTCGACGACCGCTCGCTCAGCGACGTCTCGCACTCGGGCGGCTACGGCAGGGGAGGCTTCGACGGCATGTACTCGCCCGGGGGCGGCCTGCGCTCCCTCGTCGGCACGCCGGCCTCCTCCGCGCTGCACTCCTTCGAGCCCCACCCCATCGTCGGCGACGCCTGGGAGGCGCTCCGCCGCTCCCTCGTCTTCTTCCGCGGCCAGCCCCTTGGCACCGTTGCCGCCGTCGACCACGCGTCCGAGGAAGTCCTCAACTACGACCAAGTGGGCTGTCACTCCATTTTATCCCTCTACTGAAAAATTGATTATTGTTTTGTTGACAGAAGTTGAAAATTGTTTTGATTCCGAGCTTGTCATTCGGACGCTCGTAGGAGTATATATCTTATTCGGGGTAACTTGGTGGGCAGGTGTTTGTGAGGGATTTCGTGCCGAGCGCGCTGGCGTTCCTGATGAATGGCGAGCCGGATATCGTCAAGAACTTCCTTCTCAAGACCCTGCTGCTGCAGGGTTGGGAGAAGAAAGTCGACCGGTTCAAGCTCGGGGAGGGAGCCATGCCGGCTAGCTTCAAGGTGATGCATGACGCCAAGAAGGGGGTCGAGACCCTACATGCTGATTTTGGGGAGAGCGCCATCGGGAGGGTTGCGCCTGTGGATTCTGGGTTCTGGTGGATCATACTCCTCCGGGCCTACACAAAAACCACTGGTGATTTGACGCTGGCAGAGACACCAGAGTGCCAGAAAGGGATGAGGCTCATACTCAGCCTGTGCTTATCTGAGGGGTTTGATACCTTGCCGACATTGTTATGTGCTGATGGTTGCTGTATGATAGATCGCAGAATGGTAAGCTCTGACCATTCAGTATGCTCATGCCAATGTTTAGCATTACTATTTCAAAGTTTATTACATAATAAGTATCTGGAGCTTTACTGATGAAATTTGTGGACTTAGGTTCTCCCATTTACCTTCGAAGTAATGATATGTTTACATTCGGTGCTCTAGTGATATTTCTGAAACGTAAGGTTTGATATGCATGCTTCCTGTGTCCCGTGCTCCTAACATATGATATAAATAACCTTTTTTTTACCTCAAACTCGCAGTAGAGCTGTGCGTCATAATATTAAGGAGAAGAATATAAATAACCATTGGATACGGCTAAAATCTGACATTGTGGAAACACTATTTTATGGCTTGTTCAGGTTGCTGTTTGTTTGTTCTGTGTAGTGGAGCTCGTAAGTTGTCCAATAAAGTAATGACATGTTGTGGATTAGCCTTCATCATACTTTAATGATTTAAACTTCGTGTTGCTGCTATTTTCGTTTAACATGTATCATGCTAGAGTTACCAAAAATTAACTAAAGTTAGTAATTTTCTATTGAAAATATCACCAAATGTCTCTACTAATCTTTGAGTATGAACTTGCCTACAACAGATGATAAATTCCGATTAATATATGACAGACTTTTAGCTGTTGGTAGAACCAAGTTCTGCTGTTGCATCTTCAACCTTACATTGCAAAGATACATGAAGAGTGTCTCCTATACTTGTTGATACAACAACAACAACAACAACAAAACCTTTAAGTCCCAAACAAGTTGGAATAGGCTAGAGTTGAAACCCAGCAGAAGCAATCAAGGTTCAGGCACGTGAATAGCTGTTTTCCAAGCACTCCTATCTAAGGCTAAGTCTTTAGGTATATTTCATCCTTTAAGTCTCCTTTTATTGCCTCTACCCAAGTCAACTTCGGTCTTCCTCTGCCTCTCTTCACGTTACTATCCTGGCTTAGGATTCCACTACGCACCGGTGCTTCTGGAGGTCTCCGTTGGACATGTTCAAACCATCTCAACCGGTGTTGGGCAAGCTTTTCTTCAATTGGTGCTACCCCTAATCTATCACGTATATCATCGTTCCGAACTCGATCTCTTCTTGTATGACCGCAAATCCAATGCAACATACGTATTTCTGCGACACTTATCTGTTGAACATGTCGTCTTTTCGTAGGCCAACATTCTGCACCATACAACATAGCAGGTCTAATCGCCGTTCTATAAAACTTGACTTTTAGCTTCTGTGGTACCCTTTTGTCACATAGGACACCAGATGCTTGCGCCACTTCATCCACCCTGCTTTGATTCTATGGCTAACATCTTCATCAATATTCTTGTCTCTCTGTAGCATTGATCCTAAATATCGAAAGGTATCATTCCTAGGCACTACTTGACCTTCCAAACTAATATCTTCCTACTCCCGAGTAGTTGTGCCGAAGTCACATCTCATATATTCAGTTTTAGTTCTACCGAGTCTAAAACCTTTGGACTCCAAAGTCTCCCGCCATAATTCCAGTTTCTGATTCACTCCTGTCCAATTTTCATCAACTAGCACTACATCGTCTGCGAAAAGCATACACCAAGGGATGTCCCCTTGTATGTCCCTTGTGACCTCATCCATCACTAAGGCAAACAGATAAGGGCTCAAAGCTGACCCTTGAGTAGTCCTATCCTAATCGGGAAGTCATCCGTGTCTCCATCATTTGTTCGAACACTAGTCACAACATTGTTGTACATGTCTTTAATGAGCCCGACGTACTTCGTTGGGACTTTATGTTGGTCCAAAGCCTACCACATAATATTCCTTGATATTTTATCATAAGCCTTCTCCAAGTCAATAAAAACCATGTGTAGGTCCTTCTCCCTATACCACTCCATAACTTGTCTTATTAAGAAAATAACTTCCATGGCTGACCTTTCGGGCATGAAACCAAATTGGTTCATAGAGACCCGCGTTATTGCTCTCAAGCGATACTCGATAACTCTCTCCTATAGCTTCATAGTATGGCTCAACTTAGTTTCCCGATAATTAGTACAACTTTAAATATCCCATTTATTCTTGTAAATCGGTATTAATATACTTCTCCTCCACTCGTCAGGCCTCTTGTTTGATCGAAAAATATGGTTAAACAACTTGGTTAGCCATACTATAGCTATGTCCCCAAGGCATCTCCACACCTCGATTGGAATACCATCCGGTCCCATCGCCTTATCTCCTTTCATCCTTTTCAACGCCTCTCTGACCTCAGATTATTGGATTCTCCGCACAGAGCGTCTATTGGTGTCATCAAAAGAGTCATTCAACTGAAAGGTTGTGTCCGTATTCTCACCATTGAATAATTTGTCAAAATACTTTTGCCATCGATATCGGATCTCATCCTCCTTCACCAAGAGATGCTCCCTTTCATCCTTATTGCACTTAACTTGGTTGAAGTCCCTTGTCTTTCTCTTACGAACCCTAGCCATCCTATAAATGTTCTTCTCTCCTTCCTTCATACTTAAATGTTGGTAAAGATCCTCGTACGCTCTACCCTTTGCCACACTTACAGCTCGCTTTGCAGTTTTCTTTGCCACCTTGTACTTCTCTATGTTGTCCACACTCCTGTCATGGTACAAGCGTCTATAGCATTCTTTCTTCTCCTTAATAGTCCTTTGGACTTCCTCGTCCCACCACCAAGTATCTTTAGCCTCGTCTCCACTTCCTTTGGTTACTCCACACACCTCTGAGGCCACCTTCCGAATGTTGGTTGCCATCTTCTCCCACATGTTTATGTCCTTTTCTTCCTTCCAAGAGCCCTCTTTGATAACCTTTTTCCTGAATACCTCTGACATCTCGCCTTTCAGTTTCCACCACTTTGTTCTTTTAATCTTAGCTTGTTTATCCCTACGGGCACGCACCTGAAAACGAAAGTCTGTCACCAAAAGCTTATGTTGAGAAACAACACACTCCCCTGGTATCATCTTGCAACCCAAGCATGCTCGTTTGTCCTTTCTTCTTGCGAGGACAAAGTCAATCTGGCTAGAGTGTTGTCCGCTACTGAAGGTCACTAGATGAGATTCTCTCTTTCTAAAGAAAGTGTTGGCTATCATCAGGTCAAAAGCTACCGCGAAGTCTAGAACTTCCTCCCCCTCTAGATTCCTACTACCATACCCAAAACCTCCATGAACTGCCTCGAAACCTGCGCTTGTAGTACCTACATGGCCATTAAGATCTCCTATAAAAAGCTTCTCACTACTAGGTACAGCTCTAATCAGGCCATCTAAGTCTTCCCAGAACTGTCTCTTAGCACTTTCGTCGAGGCCTACTTGGGGGGCATACGCACTAATTGCGTTCAAGATCATATCACCAATGACAAGCTTGACTAAGATAATCCTATCTCCTTGCCTTCTCACTCCCACCACACTATTTTTGAGGCTCTAATCAATCAAAACTCCTACTTCATTTCTATTCGCGAATGTCTCTGTGTACCAAAGCTTGAAACCTGTATTGTCCACCTCCTTCGTCTTCTGACCCTTCCACTTAGTCTCTTGAACGCATAATATATTTACACGCCTTCTAGTCGCGGTATCAACTAATTCTCTTAACTTACCTGTAAGCGACCCTACATTCCAACTACCTAAACGGATCCTAGTTGGTTCGACTAGCTTCCTTACCCTTCGCACCCGTCGACTTAGATGTGAAGACCCTTGCTCATTTTTCACTACACCCGGGCGCCGATGTAGCGTGCCACTAAGGATGCGACGACCCGATCCTTGCTCACTTGACACCGTGCCCAGATCGTGACACGGCGCGTCACGGGGGTGACGACCCGGCCCTTGCTCATTTAACACCATACCCGGGTTCCGATATGGCGCGTCGCTAAGAGGGTTACGCCCCAACGGTTTTCTTTCGGGTTTCATCTCCATTAGAATGGCTAGATTTAACGTTGGCTCGCCACGACTATCACAACCCTCCTCCTTTATTAGGCTTGGGACCTGCTATGTTGAGACAACATAGGCGGAGTATGTAAAATTATGCATTTTTGTGGATCATATCCTATACTTGTTGATGGTTATAAAATTATGCATTTTTGTGGACAATCGCCTCATCCAACCCCATAAACACTACTGTATTTCAAACCTGCTACTTGTCTCATTCTGTCATATGTAACTCGATTGTCTTTTTTCCCTTGCTATGAATTGAAATATGAAAAATAAAGTAATTTTCATTCCACAGCAAATCTTTCTTGATCAATATATATTAATCTTGTCCATCCTCCTTTGTTGTTGGCTTTGAACATATGCATGCCAATCTCTAGTTACTTGTGAATGTAATTGTTAATTTTCTTAGTTTGAAATGCTATTTGATTTCTATCTGAGCTTATGTTTGTTCTTATTGTCATTCTTACTTGTAGGGTGTATATGGCTACCCTATTGAGATTCAGGCCCTTTTCTTTATGGCACTAAGGTGTGCTCTTCAAATGCTTAAGCATGATAATGAAGGGAAGGAATTTGTAGAGAAGATTGCTACCCGCCTTCACGCTTTAAGTTATCACATGCGAAGTTATTTTTGGCTCGATTTCCAACAGCTAAATGACATTTATCGTTACAAGACAGAAGAATATTCCCACACAGCCGTCAACAAATTCAATGTTATTCCTGATTCAATTCCGGACTGGCTATTTGACTTTATGCCTTGTCAGGGTGGTTTTTTCATTGGTAATGTTAGTCCTGCCAGGATGGACTTCCGATGGTTTGCACTTGGAAACATGATTGCTATACTTTCTTCTCTTGCAACACCTGAGCAATCTGCCGCTATAATGGATCTTATTGAGGAGCGCTGGGAAGAGCTTATTGGTGAAATGCCTCTGAAGATATGTTATCCTGCTATTGAGAACCATGAATGGCGAATTGTGACAGGCTGTGATCCAAAAAATACTAGATGGAGTTATCACAATGGAGGGTCGTGGCCAGGTTAGTGAGCTTCACTTAGATTGTTCTGTTCTCTTTCTGACACTGAACTACAATAAACAATGGGGATGATAAATTAAGTATAGACTGGATGTTCCATAATCCATACATTTATATTTCCAGACATTTTACATTCTGAGTTTAAATGATTCCTTTTTAGTGCCGAGAAGAGCATGTCCTCTTTTTTATCGAACATCCGATGCCTTCCCTTTGCTCAAATTTCATATGCGTATGGAATTATCCTAATCTGTACCACAGAAGGCAGAATACTTTTGGTTCTTATCTGTTCAACGGTGTTCCTAATTTCTTATCTTTCTAGTAAAAATTCATAACATGACATGCTGTATCTATTCATTGTTCTTAGTCCAAGGAACCCAAACAATACAAGCTATTTTCACACATCGTTTTCATATTTCTGTTCATCTTTCTGCAGTACTTCTGTGGCTGCTGACTGCAGCCTGCATCAAAACTGGACGACCGCAAATTGCAAGAAGAGCAATTGACTTAGCAGAGAGGAGGCTGTTGAAGGATGGCTGGCCTGAGTACTATGATGGGAAGCTTGGTCGGTATGTTGGCAAGCAGGCAAGGAAATTCCAGACTTGGTCCATCGCGGGGTATTTGGTCGCTAAGATGATGTTGGAAGATCCTTCACATCTAGGCATGATCTCCCTGGAAGAGGATAAGGCAATGTTGAAGCCTGTTTTGAAGCGGTCTGCATCATGGACAAACTGATGGCGATGAAAATTTTTAGGGAAGCAAAGTCAGCTGAAAACACGAATTCTTGGGGTAGCATCTCCTTGTCTGCTTGCCCCCTTCCTTTGACTTCCAAACCGGGATGGTTTGTGTCTTCTGGATTTTCCTTGGTTGTACAATATCTCAGCTCGTTTCCTGAGTTGAAAAAAAGAAGCAACTGCAGAAATGGGCGTTTTGTTTTTTCTTTCCCAATCTCTCTGTAAGATACTCTGATTCTTGCTTGGGTCATCATAAGTTATGGATCCTTTTGGTTAGACTCAACTTTGTTGTACCAGTGGACTATAAAGTTGAGTAAGCTGATTCCAGCTTCCCTGTGAAGCATAAGTGCTATTTCTAACGAATGAATAAAGCTCCTTTCTCTCCGTTGCTGCATGCCTGTGTTTCTATTGCGTTTACTTGACTGCCTGTCTGCCTGTCCTGTGATGACAAGTCATAGAAAGTGTGCCTTGTGTGTCTCTTCCTCCTTTTGTCTCCCAGAGCTTCGTGGTTGTACTTGTGTTCAAGGAAAGAAAACAATTCTGATCCAGCCATCCCTGTTCCCTCTATATATTTCTTATGTAGCAGATTTGCTACTTGTGTGCAGGGCATGCTTGTTTCCTGGCCGCATTGTGCCATACTTCATCTGTGGCGGCGCCATACTTGTGGCGGCAAAATTAGGCGCCACAGCCGAGCGGAAATTATTATACACTATAAAAGCCCTAAGCTGAATCACCGACCAAACAACACCAAGAATAAAAGTGTCAGCCTTGGGGTGGTGGTGGCGCGTGATGGCTGAGAACCAAACATGCTCAAAGTCCTAAGGTCCGGTTTGGAACACGTGATTTTTTTCTTTGTTTCTGTATTTTTCTATAAAATTAAACTGATTCATGTAAAATTCCTATGTAAATCATGTAAAATTTCTGCGTTCAAATAGGCCATAAACCTGGACACATTTTGGCTAGATAGACTATATGATTTTATATAGTTCTTGATTTCTTTATGAGCCTATATAGAGACGTTCGAGTCCATGGACAATAAAATATGATTGGCAAGGCCGGTTTAGACCTTACTCCCTCCATTTCTATTTAAGTGTCGCCATATCATTCGTGTTAGTCAAACTTTCTCAAATTTGACTAAGTTTCTAAAAAATATTAGCAACATTTATATCTATAAATAAATTTATTATGAAAATAAATTCAACTATCTATCTAATGATACTAATTATGTACTATAAACATTAATATTTTATTTTATATATTTAATCAAAGTTAAGTATGTTTGACTTCTCGAGAGGCGAGAACGATAGATAAAAAGGGATAGAGGGAGTATTGTGCAATAGCGGAGAAAGACTGGTTTTCTAGTTTGGCGTAGGCCGATTTTGGCTAGGTTGGTCGCAGGCCGTGTAAACCGGTTTAAGCCTATTCTGATCGTCCGAGTTCGATACATCTTTAGTTCGATGGGAATTTGTGCAACATCCTTGGTATTACACTGTAAATTACTTACTAAAACATGTCATGAGCATCATGTTTAGGTGTTAATGCATGTAATAAAGTGTGTAGATCAATTTCCGTAACTCGAAACGATCAACAAAAATGTGAAACGAAAGTTGATTCGATAGTCATGTTATATCACTTAGGGTTTAAAACCAATTTTTATTAAGCAAAAATGCTATAGAACATGTATGTGATACTTAAATAAAGTTTGAAGTATAAACTTTGTAGATGACAGTGAAATACTTGCAGTCAAAAAATAATATTACTAGCTAATATTTCCACTAGCTTAGAAATCGCAAATGGAAATCAAATTCAGATCAAAAACTTAGAAATTTTCAAGCCTGCCGACAGCTAGACATTGCTATGTTTAGCAAGTTATTGTGAGAGATTGGGTTAAATGGTGGTGTAGTATTATAGCTCGATTTGGTAGTCACATATGCCATCTTGAGCATGGTGAAGCTGGTTTGGCTCCTGGAGCAACCGTTGGGTCGTATTGAACGCTTTAAAATTCATGCGTGTCACTGTCTCGGGTTGGTTGGCGCCGGGTGTGCGGTCACCGCGCGGCCTTCCCACGCCGCGCACATGGCCGTGTCCCGCGCGGTCAACCGTGCCACCTAGGCTTGGCCGAGGCCGGCCACAGTGAGCCGCTGGCCCCGTGCCCTGCTGCTCTGCCTCGTGTTGCCGTCTTGGGTGCCGCGCGGTGGCCGCTGCGCTACCGTCGCGCCGCACTGCCGACACTCCTCGCGTCATGACGCTACCATCGTATCATCGTCGCGTCCGCGCCGGTCTGTTGCACCTCTACGCTATTGCCGGCCCTATGCGTGTCGCCTCTACCGCGAGCACGTGGGCGAGCCGCTGTCGCCTTGTCTTTAAGGTGCTGCAGCCGTGCGGGCCATGCCAGTCGGGAGTGCACGCGCCTGTCGGCTAGCATCGGCGCGTGGGTCTGCTGATCTCGCCACTCGCGTCCCGCCAAGGCGAGGACGAGCCGAGCCCACCTATCGCGCTCGTTCTCTCTTCTCTCTCTGCTTTCCGCCGCCGTCGTGTCGCGTCACGGTGAGCCTGAGAGCGGGCAACTCTCATCAATTCCTCATGCTCGCGTCTCCGCCCTCACGTCCCCTCTCTAGCCGCCCCCACCCTGCTTTGATTGTAGCTCGGTCGAGCTCCAATTTTGGAGTTTTGCCCGCCACCGTGCCGTTATGAACCGTCGTCGTTCGCGTCGTGGCCAGCCTTCACCACTTCACCTCGCGCAAATTCCTCTACATCACTAGCTCGCCTTGGCTCCCTCTCTACCCTGCGCACGCCCGGGGGAGCGCTATTGCCTCCCCTCTACAACTGACGTGGCCGTGTCCGCCGTGGCCTATCGCCGTGCTCGTTGCGCGCACATGGCCAGCACTGCTCAGGTAGTCGTCGGCCGAATCACCACTTCGGATGGGTTCGTGGTGTGCCTCTGATACCTATTCTCTATCTCTACCGTTCTGTTAGCGTTGTGGCTCACCGAAACGCGGTTGCCACCATTGCTGGTCGCCGTCACCGGGGAGAACTCGCTCTGCTTCACCCCCATTCGTGCAACCACCGCCCATCGTCGCTCGTCGGCCCATAGATGAGCATCGATCCCCTAGCTAGGTTTGCAAGGGTCCAGGGTGGCCGGCGATGTCGCTAGTGCCGTCGCTCACCGTGCCACCGTGCACAGAGTCACCGAGGGTATGCGTAGGTGAATTAGGGAAAGTCCAGGGGGTTAAGTGAGAAGTATGAGAGAGGGGGAAATAGAGTCAGTACTTAGTTGTAATTTGGGAGAAGTGCGAGGGCGTTTTTACAAGAATGCCAGCGCGCGCACAGGCTCCCCGCCGTGGGCCGCCTCCGCGCGTGGGCCACTCCCCACGTGGGCCGCGTTTGGCCGAATTGAGTTTATCTTTTTCGTGGAGAATAGAAATAACTTTTTCATTTTAATTATGAGCTGAACTTTAGTAAATCATATAAAATCATGTAGGTATCCAAAAATTATAAAACAAATTTTGTTAGGTTTCTAAAATTATGCTCTATCTATTAGTGTATTTAGTTCATATATGTGCTTATTGATACCAGGAGGTATTAAATCATTTGAGAGTGCTTAATATTATTAGGTTAAATATTGTGGGAATTTTTATGGTAAATTGATGATAGCTTTAATCCTGAAATTTTTATAGCAGCATCATGGTATTATTATGTGCTCACTGTAATTTTTGTAGATTTAGAACAGACTAGACATAAGGGTAGTTAAATGCTTTGTTTCAAATATACATTAAATCATTAGTAGAAATAAAGATATATCCTTCATTTGTAAAGCTAGGTGTTTGTTAGTTGAACCCAACACCTTGCTTGGTAAAGATGATAGTTAGCTTAGTGCCTTAGTCATTAGAGCTAGCTTAGTGGCTTACTAGATGTATTTTTATTTTGAGAATTGTTGTTGCCTAATATTAACGTGTTGCATCATCATCGCATGCATGTAGAGAACGAGTTGGCGGAGATCATGACCATCGGAGATCACGAGTTTGAGGAGGTGATTGAAGAGTACGAGTAGGAGATCCTTATGCAGGATGAGGTCCCAGAGCTGTCACTAACTGACTTAGTTGACAATCCGCCTACCCAAGGCAAGCCCTCGTGCATAACCCTTATTTTAAATAATCACTGGATATATATATATATATATATATATATATGTGATGTGCATTTACGTTACTTATTGTTGAAACTACATGTATAGATATACCTACCTATGAGTCCTGGTAGCGTGAGAAACCTACCGTTACTCACAATAGGTGATTATTATTACTCTCATAATAAAATGATGAAAGGAAATGGAGACCGAGCAGGGATATGGTACGGGTATTGGTGGGTGTAATAGGTTGTGTCCCACGGTCGACGGGGCATAGCTTGGTTACATTGTTTTCCGTGTCCATGTCGATTAAGGACCGGCTGTTGCATTAGATTCTAGTTAGGTCACAGAGTTATTATCCTGAGCACATACTTGCTTATGGGAGCGGGAAGGCTCGTTGCTCTACTGTCGTGGGTTCCAGCTCTTTTCGAACCGACTGATTAGAGATGGGGATGGTGGAGGTCTAAGCACCACACTGAGTTTGGGATTCAGGAGTGGAGGCTTGGAGTCCAAGTTTGGACGGGGACCTAGACCCCTAAAAGGTCCTTGTTTGGTTTTTGTAATTGAGTGACAACCCTAGGTGGACTAATTGTGTTTATGTGAGTTACATAGGTGATTAGTCCACAGGTACATGTGTGTGAGCAACATATGCTATGGAGGTGGAAATGGCTTGGACCAGTTGCAAGCGTGAAGGGCAAGTTGGAGGCTTTGGAGCGATGGACCATGTGGCGGTGAAGCTTGAGCAAGACTTAGCGCCGATGGACAAAGGCAACGATGAAAAGCAAGTGACGTCAAGATCGATGAACCAATACAGTCACGTGATGATATGAAGTGGATCATATCATTTAGTGATTGGTTGGTGCATGTGTTGCATC